TCCTCATGACAACAATCCTGTGAGGAAGATTAGGCTGAGAGTTTGTGACTAGTCACCTAGTGAACTTCAAGACTGATAGGGGACTAGAACTTAGATCTCATGAGTCCCAGTCTGGAACTCTTAACCACTAAGACAAGTTCGCTAAGAGAAGATCCTCTCCCCTGTTGCCTTCAACCAACTCTCCCTCAGCATCTGGAGGAAGGCTTCAGATGATGATTCAGTGGCCAGGTTGGTTGCTGCTGGGAGAGGTACTCTGTCAAGTATTGAGGTCCTAAGGCATGTATTGTACCCCAGAAGCTGCTGTCTCTGGCTGGATAAACAATCCGGTGCCAGGAGTTGGTATCACCGGGCACTTGCTGAGGTCCCACTGCAGCAGGAGCCCTGCTTGGAGTCTGGGAGCCCTGGATCCTGCAATTCCTTTGTCCTGAGCTTTCTGAGCGCACAAGCAAGCCACAGTTGCTTCTCCACGCAGCAGAAGCGGCTGTTCCTGCTTGTTTTGCTTCTCTTCCTTTTGGCCACCATGCAAGGGGAATGGAGGGAACGAAGGTGGAGTGGAAGGGCCGACGGGGAAGAGGAGGAGGTGATGGTGCTTGTTTCACGCAGGGCATCTTGCCCAACCCTTGTATAGATTACTCTGTCCCATCGAGCCCCTTCGCCGGAGAGGCTACCCTGAAAGCACACACGCTCCCTTTAGCACAGCCACCTTCGTCCCATCTCCACCACTGAGGAGCCTGCAAATTATTACTGCTCGAGCAGACAGCTGTGGCATCAGCTGCCCATCCGTGGTTCCTCCCTTGCTCTCACAGAAAGATGGCTTGGGGGGCCCGTGACCTTGTTTTTCTGGCTGCCCTGCACATTTCTATTATGTAAACGGCATGCAGAGGGGATACTTGCAGACAAAGGGGTCTTGGCCCTGGAGATAAGGCATTGTGCAGAAGATCTGTGCTTTTCTCTTCATCGGGTTTTCTGAATTAAGGAAAAAAGGCAGGAAGAGCACTAAGAAAAGAGGCGGTTTACTCACTGTCAGCATCTTCCTGCCTGAGGCAGGGCGATGGCTGCTCTTCAT